CACTTTTTCTGTTTTTTTTTTTTTCTAAATGATTTTATGCATTTACTTCAAAGGGAGAGTTATAGAGAGAGGAAATGGGGGAGAGAGCAAGCGAGAGAAATTCTTCCATCTTCTGATTCACTTTCCAGTTGGCCACAGATGCCAGCGTGGGCCAGGCTGAAGTTAGGAGCCTGGAACTCCATCTGGTCTCCCACATAGGTAGCAGGAACCCAGGCTCTTGGGCCATCTGCCACTGCTTTTCCAGGCATAATAGCAAGGAGCTGAATTGGAAACAAAGCAGGCGGGACTCCAGCTGGCATTCCAGTATGGGATGTTAGTGGCACAGACTGCTTAAGTGCTGTGCCACAGCACCAACTCCTCACAAACACTGTCATCTGGTCTCATTAAGCACTTCCCAGCGCCCTGTGAGCCAGGTGTTATCAATGAGGTAGAATATGATGGTACTTCAAAAACTTCATGGAAAATTAGAATTACATTATTTTCTTACAAAATGCTTTTTACTTCCATGTGTAGTTTTTTTCCCCTGATATGCATTTCCATGAAATTTTTGTTACATTTATTTTATTTATTTATTTTTTATTGGAAAGGCAAATATACAGCGAGAAGGAGAGACACAGAGAAAGATCTCTGTCTGCTGGTTCATTCCCCAAGTGGCTGCTACATCCAGAGCTGAGCTGATCTGATCCGATCCTAAGCCAAGAGCTTCTTCTAGTCTCTCACAGGAGTGCAGGGTCCCCTAGGCTTTGGGCCATCCTCTGCTGCTTTCCCAGGCCACAAGCAGGAAGCTGAATGGGAAGTGGAGTTGCGGGGACACAAACTGGTGGTTATATGAGATCCCAGCAGATGCAAGGCAAGGATTTAGCCTCTAGGCTATCATGCTGTGCCCTTCCATGAACTTTTGAGAACCTCTTGTATTCATGGATTGAACTTTTTCATATCAAAATGAACTTATCTTTTAATTCCATTTAGCATGAACTTTTTGAAGTACCCTTATACATAAAAGACTCTGAGTAGTGTTTAGTGCGTAATAAGTATTCATCATTCATTATTACTATTAAAATTTAAATGATCATTGGCTCTATTTATGCATCTAGAAACTAAGGCTCACAGAGGCACTTAACCTGTCCATCATAGCCATCACTGAGCTGGGAAGTGGTGGAATCAGGTCTGAACTCAACCTCTCCTTCTCTGATCTCTACAACTCTCTCATTATCCTATGCGTAAAAGGAGTACTTTTTTTTAAGCTGGCTTGTCTGGCTTAGGCCAAGTTCTCAGGGGATGTTAGTAGCAAACTCTGAAATCATGCTTCTCAGCCTCAGAGCTCTCGTTGGCAGATGGGAGTTGAGGTAGGTGTTTACTTCCTTGAGTAGTAAGAGTTAAATCTGGAAGCCTCTGCCCATTTTAGCAATAAGGGGAGGTGGTGGTTCATTACCTGAGAAGGAAACTGCAAGCCATTAAATCCACACAGATCCTCAGCCGTTAGTCTTGTTAAGAAAATGTTACAATAGGGGGAAATTGACAGTGCAGGCACTATAGATATTTTTAGTGTGTGCTTAGGTTCTGTTTAGGATTGAATGCAAGGGGATGAATTTGGGCTTAACTTCACACAAGACTACCAATAATAAAGTCCATATTGAACACCTCCTCTTTTCCCATTTTATCTAGAGGAATGAAGCAGCTTTGACTTTCAAACACTGGTGAGCATAGTATAATTGTTTGGCAGTAGAAGTAAAAACTGTAGCCATACATTCCTTGCACCAGCGTCAAATTATTTATTCTATGTATGTATTGTCAAATGAAAGCCGTTGTGGCATTGATTGTAATAGCAAAATAAAGAAGAAAATGGAAATAAAAATGCTCAAAAATCAATAGTTAAAATATATGTATATAATTTGAATGGAATTTTATAGAACTATATTTTAAGAAGTTACATATTATTTTATTTTATTCTATTTTCTATCAGAAAGGCAGTAACCCAGAGAGAGGAAGACAGAGAAAGATCTTCCATCTGCTGGTTCACTCCCCAAATTGCCTAAACAGCTGGAACTAAACCCATTCTAAGCTAGGAGCCAGAAGCTTCTTCTGGGTCTTCCATGTGGGTGCAGGAGCCCAAGGATTTGGGCCATCCTCTGCTGCTTTCTCAGGCTATAGGCAGAAAAGTAGATCTGAAATGGAGCAGCCAGGACAGGAACCTGCATCTCTATGGGATGCTGGAGTAGGTGGAGGCTTGACATACAACGTCACGGTGCCGACCCCATTTTCATACAACTATTAAGAAGAAAAAGAAAGGTTTGTCAATGTGTGCTGAAAGCATATCACTAGTATATAACCTAAGTGAAACAAATCAAGGTCCCAAAGAAATCTGTATAGCATGATGCTGAGTGCAACTACATCTTCCCACTCTTCCCCAACTAAAGGGTGTGTATGCAGCTGCTGGTGGGAAATATGTCTGATGGAAAGAATGGGATATTAGAGAGTTCTTCATTCTCTCTTTTAGTTTACTTTTGAAGATAGGTAATTTGATTGATTTTAACCATTTGAACAATTTTAAACAAAATGTTAAACAAATTTAAGCTACTTGTCTCAGTGTTCCCAGTCAGGATAAGATGCAGGCAGAGTTCTGGCTCAGGGCTGTGATTGCAGTGATTCCTCCAGATTCTAGCATGCTGCCTCTGACCAGTGATCCTTCAGCATTAGCAGGTGCTTCTGTCACTTGTGAGTTATGTGCAAAGATTTTCATTTAAAAATACCTGCAATCCGAATGTCCTGGTGCTCCCGTCCACAGGAGCATGCTCGCTCTCCAGAAGAGGTCTTTGTGCCCCAGCTGCTGCCATTTTAGCTCCTTTTCTAGAAGACTGTGGCTCAGCCAAGAGAGGTCAGTGACCCGGGGCCAGGAAACACAAAGATTTCCAACAGGACAAATTACCTTAAGGAAAAGGCATTAGGATAACTGGAGAGGTGGGGGTGGAGGCAAGGCATGAGAACAGTTTGATTAGCCAACTTGGTCAGTGGGCAGGTGCAGGAAGTGGCAGATGCACCCTGCCAGAATCTATAAATATACTTCAATATCAATGTTCAAACCCCACAAAATAAGTGAGTGAAATAGAAAACTTGGCAGCGTGTAAGTGCCCACATGTAAACTCAATTCTAGGCTTAACTGCTGGAAGTTATCTGGGAGGTTTCGGTTTCTCCGTGAGTAGTCAGGCGGATAAGCACCCTTCTAACATCTTCACAGAATTGTGGGGAGCAAATAAAACAAGGAAATGTGCTTTGCAAATGCAGGGCTGCATGGAGAAAGAGAGTTTAGTTACTGTTATTGTCTCTGTAACTTACCTCACTGCAGAACTATTTTTCAGACAGGAAGAGATGCTGATAAAAAGGTAGACACACCTCACCAATGAATGGAATGGGACTTGGTGGGCCATTGACTCCAGTTCCTCCTGCTTATGGTCATAAACAAAATCCTGCAGGGCCAAAGGTTTGCAGAATGGTAACAGTGCCATGCATACATGGCAGTAGCTGCCAAACAGATGACATATGCTGCACACTCCTGCCCAGGGGACTTGCTGAGTCGTGAATGTTGATCATTGTCCTGGAAGTGAGCTGATGTGAAGCCTGTGTAAGGAATTGGGGCAGAGGTGGGGGGATGGACTTCGGTGGTTAGCTCCAAAATGGCTGAATGCCTCAAAGGAGCAATTTGAACATGGCCAGGGACTTGGATAGGACAAATGACAACTTCCTAGAACGGCCTGTTCCAGAATCCATAGAGAAAAGGAAATAGGCTGACCCCGTCCTGGGTAGTTGACAGGAACCAGAGTAGGAAGTATTTGTGGTGGGAGTACTGCTCACCACGTCATTAAGTCCCTTTTGAGTAAAGAAGGACAGCAGAAAAATAATTCAATTCAGCACACATGGTAGTCATATGAAAGATGGAAAGAATAAATCAGCAAAGGGGGACAGAGCTGTACAATGTGAATAAAGTTGAACTCAGAGTCCTACTGGGTTAGGTATGGATACTGGCTCTGTCACTAGGTCACCAAGTACCCTTAAATACTCCGTTTTCCTCTGCTGAATCTTGATTTATTATTCTCTCAACTGAAGACCTTTGTCCCGATCTTATTAAATGAGATGTTGTAGAAATCAACTAGCATATAATTCCTAGAACGTGATGCCCAATGAATACTAGTTTATTCTTTTATTCTGAAGAAAGTTTGCCAGAAACCCTTCAGCGAAATATGGCAGTTGGAAATTTCAGGGACTTGGAAACCCAACCAGACCTAACCAATAAGTACAGTGTAGAAAGGCCCTTTGTGAAAATGTTGAACCAGCTAACTGGGCAGAGGAGAAAATTATAGAGAAAGGGTGGGTTGGAGGCAAGGCTGGACTCATTATAAATATAAGCAAAAACACAGCTTAGAAGCTGCAATGCCATGAATGCATGACTGTGAGATTCCTCTCTGGCAGAGAGTGTGTGTGCATTGAAGAACTCAGCTTTACTCATGTTTCTTGACTGCTTAGAAATATAAGGTAGGTTTTGTGCCAAAGCCAAATTCTCCTCCTCCATTGCCCTTTTTTCTTTTTTTTTTCTTTTTTTTTTTTCTGACATAGGTACTTCCCTGTCATTTGCTGGTTGCTCTTTAATCCTTGTGGCATTTTAAAAATAATATTTTAAAGTTATTATTGCCTTAGATCCTTTAGATATGAGATTGATCTAGTCTTTATCAAGAATGGCTGGAGAAATTCACTCTTCTATTTTTTTATGGTCCAAAGGTCAGTAGTAGTATTATCAAATCACAAAACTTAAGAATGAAAGGGTGGGTGCTTTATAGGAGAGTAAATTGGGACTAAAAGAAACTGATTCTCTTGCGTTCTTCTAATGATCCAGTAGCACAATGAAGGTCAGAACCAGAGTTGCTTAACTCATTCTAGGGTTCTGTCTGCTATAATACTTTTCTTTGTTATAGCAAATTTCTAATATATTTTTTTCCCCCTTTCTCCAGGGCTAAGTGCTTTCGGGGCAAGAAAGTCCTTGGCGATTATGAAATCAAAGTGGAACAGGTAATCAGCCTGCAGCTCAGCCTGCGTCACCACAGTCCCTCCTGGCACCGCAGAGTGAACCATCTAGTTCTGCTTGGTGCACTGCCTGTCACTGAGTTCTGCTCACCTGCCCTTCCCCTGCATTTCTCACTCTATGAGGCATGGTTCCGAAGACCGCATCTTTCCCTCAGTTCTTTTTGTGTGTCTGTAGAGAAGCTAGAAGTAATGATCTTAGACCCTTCTTAGAGAAAACTGCTCCCAGGCTGAAGAAAACTGGAGTAATGGCACCTCTGTATTGTTGGTGGCCAAATATTCTTGGATGAGCACATGTCTGCTGTGTTGGTCTACCTCCTTTGGTGACGCCTACTCTGGGCCTGCGGCCATCCTCCAGAGAACACTCAGGAAAGAATACCTCCTGAGGTGGGCGTTTAGCGCAGCAGTTAAGACCCTGCCTGGGGTTGCTGTATCTCGTACAGAAGTGCCTGGGTTTGAGTTCCTCTCTGTTTCTGATTCTGTTTCCTAGGAAGCAGCAGGTGATAGCTTAAGTATTGAGATCTTCCTAGTCAAGGGGTAGATTTTGGTTGAATTCTAGGCTCCTGATTTTGGCCCAGCCCAGCTTTGGCTATTGCAGGCATTTGGGAAATGGATAGAGGATCAATTGATTGAGTAATTTACCTCCGTTTTTCAAATAAATGAAAATAAGTTAAAAATTTTAATTAATAGAAAATACCCACTTGTTTTAGTACACCAAAGTTCTGAAAGGCCTTTTCTTACCTTTTCCCATTGCTTAATGCATGAATGATTTCATTTGTGAGGCGAGAATGTACACTTTAAAGATGCATATATTTTCTATGTAATAGTAGACGTTACTCAGGATTCATTACACAGTGGGCTGTGACTTACAGAGTACTTTGTTATCATTACCTTCAGTTCTATGTATATTATTTGTTTGTTTGAGTTATAGAAGGAGAGGAAGTGAGACAGAGAGAATCTGTTGTTTCACTCCCCAAATGGTTGCAGTCACCAGAGCTGGGTCAGTCTGAAGCTGGGAACCAGGAGCTTCTGCAGGGTCTCCCGTGTGGGTGCAAGAGCTCAAGCACTTGGGGGCCATCTTCTGACGCTACTTCCAGCAGAGATCTGGATTGGGAATGGAGCAGCTGGGTCTTGAACCAGTGCCCAAATGGGATGTTGGTACTGCAAGCAGCAGCTTTATTCACTATGGCATGTTGCAGGCCCTACCTTCAGTTCTTAAAACAAGATAGGCAGGGTCAGGGAGGCAAGTACAGAAACTTAGAGACTGAAATCACCTCACTTAATATCTCATGCTGAAAGATGGGAACCAGTTGCCTAAACTAAAACCTAGGTGTTCTTATGTTGACACTGATCAGAGAGCTGTTTGTTCCAGGCTACATCTTCATCTACAGCGAAGTACACAAGGATGACATGCTGGGAGTCAAATGATCTAAGTTTTGCTCCCATCTCTGCCAATGATCTTTTTTTTTTTGGTCCAGAAAATCCATTTAACTTATTTTCAGGTTCCATTTCTTTCTAGAGTAAATGGAACTCATTTTCTGTGTCCCACCTGCTGTAGGGTTACTATAAGGATTGAATGGAATCAGCATGTAAAAATATTTAAAAACGGTAAATAAAACTTTTGGTTAAGGGGCTGCTGCTGCTGTGTGGGGAACTTGACCACGCCAGGGCTGACTGTGGACCTCTTCCTCTACTCTTATGTTTCAGGCGGAATTTTCAGAGCTCAACCTGGTGGCTCATGCTGATGGAACCTATGCCGTGGATATGCAGGTGCTCCGAAATGGCACCAAAGTTGTCCGGTAAGGACTTTCCCATTCCCAGGGGCACAAAGGCAAGTGTCAGAAGAGAGTAGGAGCGTCCTGCATGGCAGGCAGAGCTTCACTGTGTGCTCTGCATGGGTGTGCAGAAGAAGATAGCTCCTACCTTTAGGAAGCTCTTAGACAAATGGAAGGGAAAGCAGCCTAGGCGACAGATTCAGAGCCCACTTGGAAGTAACGCCCGTCTCCCTGTAGTTGGTGTGGCCCTGTGCTTTTCTCTCTGCATACATTTGCCTTGGAAGCCAAGGTCTGGTTGCTTTAAAAGTTTTGAAAATGTCTGATCTAGCTCAACCTTTGTTTGACACTGATCTGTTTAGATTCATGCAGGGTGCTGGTGGCAGAGCCCTGTACTCGTGTGAGTTCTCTTGGCCTCCCCCCTGCCCCCCAGTTCTGTGTTTGTTCTGTAGTCTTCATTCCTGGATCACTCATAGTTTGAAAGGAAAACCTAGGATTGGAAGATAAATTGTCAGTGGAAAAAATGAGTAGTTATTGATCACTTCCGTGTTGGGAAGATTGAGTGTCACTTAGATCCGAAGCTGTCCCAGATACGACAGCTCTGTAAGGGAGCTCATAAGTTCAGTGGCATATCTGTGGCAAGGAGCTTAGCTGGCAACAAGTGACACACGGGGAGCTTGCCCGTGCATGGGAACATTCTGTGCTAAGGGCTTCCTGATGCTGTTGCTCAACCTCAGTTCTGCGAAAAATATTTGTACCCTCCCTAGTGTCCGCTTTGGAAGAATAACATTGGAAAGTCTGGCCCCTTGCTCTCCTTGGGGCCTGATGAGGGCTTTGCCTATTTTAAGGAGTCAGAACAGGATACTGAGGTCAGGGACCTCCAGGGCAGTGTAGTGAAGACAGCCAAATATGCTGGCTTCCAAGTCTGCTGGGACCTGCTCAGAGCCCCAGTTCAAGAGCCCGTGAGGGTCTAGAAGTGTCCCTCCCTTCTCCTCCCCCCCCCCCCGAGGATATTTGTACCTTAGAAAAAGGCAATGCTTAGGCCAGAAGAATAGAGGAATTTCAGAGCTCTCTTCAGATCTCCTTTGGAAAATGTCATACTTCTGGTATGGAAGGTAATTGTCATTTCTGAAACGAGGGTCTTGGCCTGGGTGGGCCCTAAGACCTTCTCTGCCTTGGGCTTTGGAAATGAAAGACAAAGTGATATGGTACTTACATTGCTGGATTGAGGCCAACTTGTCCCTACCTTCCTACCAGGTCCTTCCGGCCGGACTTTGTGCTCATCCGGCAGCACGCATTTGGCATGGCAGAGAATGAGGATTTCCGCCACCTGATCATTGGCATGCAGTACGCAGGCCTCCCCTGCATCAATTCACTGGAATCCATTTACAACTTCTGTGACAAGCCATGGGTGGTGAGTGAGGCTCTCTTTTTCCTGCGTAAAAGAATAGGTAGGAACCCGGACCCTGCATCCCTCAGTTCTTTGGGAAGGACTGCTGGTGGTACTCAGTGCAGCAGCCAGGACTTAGTGCAGGGCAGGCTGGCACAGTAGCACATTACCACACACCACGAGCCAGACAGCCTCTGCTGCAGTGCAGACCTTTGTTGTTAGCAAGGTTTATTTATTTATTATAAAGACAGAGTTACAAAGACAGTTAGAGATGGGTATAGGAGAGAGAGAGAGATCTTCACCTACTGATTAGCTTCGCAATGACCGTAGTTGTCAGAGCTGGGCCCAGCTTGAAGCCAGGAGCCAGGAGCTCCATGTAAGTCTTTTGTATTATGGGTAGCAAACACTTGGGCCATCCTCCACTGTCTTCTCAGAACCTTACCAGGGAGCTGGATGAAAAGTAAAGTAGCCAGGATTTGATCCAGCACTTGTATGTGATATTGGTATGATAGGCAGCAGCTTAACCCATTACACTATAATGTTAGCCCCATGATCTTTGGTCTTGCAACCAAGTTGCACAAACATCTTGTAAAGAAGCCCGGACAGAGCTCTAGGCTCTGCCCTCAGCCCTGGCTGCAGCGATCTAAAAGACCCATTTGTTGCCTTTCAAAATCGTTTCACTACTAACAAGCTCTGAAGCCAGCGGGGGAACCAAGGGAATGAGCCAGTTAGGAGGAGTGTTTTTGACAAGAGTCCTACAGTGTTTCAGCAACCTTGAAGTGAGATTAGCTGCGTACACATGCATCAGGCACTTCATATGGGCTGAAAGTGCCCCTGGAGATCGTCCAGTCTCACTCCTTCATGGTGCAGATGTGAAAATTAAAGAAGGGGTGGTGGTGGTAAGGAGTGTATAACCACTTAGCATATGGTGCCAAATTCCTACATTTTTGTACACTGTTTCATTTAATCTTCACAATAACCTCACAGGGAAGGTATTATTGCTAGCATTATAAGCACTTTTTACAGGAAAAAGAGATCCTGAAAGGTTTAAGAAACTTAAGTGCCAGAGCCAGGACTCTGGGAGATTGTGCTGCTCTCACACTGTTTGGGTGAGGAAGAAGCTGATCTGGTTCTTCTCCTCTTGAAATTGCATTTTGAAAATCCAGAAGGTCAGTGGAAACTTTTAGGCTAAGGAATTGAAGAGTTTAGGAGGGCAAGCGACCCTGGCTAGCCACTTGGGCATTCTCACCTCCTCTGTGACAGCTGAGCAGACCCAGCTCCTCTGCTAACCCTGCGGCTCCAGGCTGGCCCTCTCGGAAGGAAGCACCTGCCCCTAATCACATCCTCTTCATCTTGTTTTTCAAAAATGAAATGGCAGCTGTCACACACACTGGACTGCCAAGGTTCCTGGCACTGGTGGCTAATTGTTAAGTTTTTGAACCCCAAGTCTCTTTGCCACTCAGGGAACAGGAAGGGGGTGTTGTTTTTATTTTTATCATCAAATAGATAGTTCACCTCTGCTCTTAATCTTTTTTTCAAACTTGAACTAACAGCTTTCCTTTTCCTTTGGGAGCCAGGGAGTCCCTTTAGTGTAAGAAAAAGACTGGTGAGCAAGGAGTCGAGGGTCTGGGAGCTGCCATGGCTCAACAGGGGGCTGGGTTCTTGGGCTTCACGTGTTCAGCTTTCCCTCTGTGTGGCCTGAGGCGTCTGAAAACCCGAGTTCTGCGTGAACAGGTGGAGGGAGTTATGTGATTGGAGTGTGTCACTCATCTGGGAACTGACCCTTTCAGTTCAGTCACGTGGCTTTCTTGCCACCCATTTGCTTTTACCCGTGCCCACTCCTACCTCCACACCTACCACGTATTAGAATTTGACTCCCTTAGAGTCATATGGAGTGATTCTGCCATTATCAGCTTTTTCTGGGTCATCTCACTACTTATCAGCTCTCTGACAAAACCTCTTTGTGCCCCACTTTCTTTGTCTACAAACAGGGAATAGCAGCAGTACCTGCCACCACTTTGCCAGCCTGGTTGTTACAGTCCCCTCATATCTGGGATGTCAAAGAAATGAGTTCTCCATTTTGTTTTCTTTTCTTCTTCTTCTTTTTTTTTTAACTGTGCCAGAGGCCAAGGAGAGCAGGAGCAGCAGAGCCTGTGCCTAGGGAGGGGAGGAGCAGCAGAGCCTGTGCCGAGGGCCTTGCCCCTCGTGGGACCTGGGATCTGGTGAGGGGTCACACTCTCACCCATTCACAGGACCAGCACATTGCCGTTGGCATTGCATGAGAACAGCAGGCTCCTGGACAGACACCAAGTTCTCCCTTCACTTACGCTAATCAGCTGCCATTCAAATGACATCTTATTTTTTTTTCTCTGCTTTTTGGGGAGAGGAGAGTAGGTCTGTTTGGTGCTGGTCAGTGGAGGGTCCCTCTGAGATGACGACTGGGACTCATGTTTTGAAAGATTCTTTATGATAGCTGGCCTTGGTGTGAGCAGAGCCCTTTGTGGGGTTGGAAAAGGCTCAGTCTTGTATCGCTGCCTCTGAGAAAGTCTACTGTCTCTGAAACTGGTCAGGGCTGGCCCCTGAGGCTTCAGAAGCAGGACTGAGAAAACCACTCCTCTCACCCCCTTTACTGCTGTGGATGGATCTGTAATCCTTGTGTCTTTCTGGATATTTTAGAGACAGATGCACCAGAATTAAATTAAATTAAATTAAAGCTTTTAATTTCCAGGAGAAAGAGGGTAACATGTTACTCTAACTAACCTTAAGGCCCATTTCCTCCAAGAAGTCCTTGCCAGATTTGCTGGATAAGTGGCTATAATGAACATGTCTTGCTGTTCATTGCCAGCAGCACCCCCAGCTCCCAAATTTGTTCTTTTGTCTGTGCATAGAGGAAATAGCCCTTATCAGATAGTACATTTGTTTAATTGGTGACTGTGTGCCTGTGACTTAATCCAAGTTTCCAGAGAGGCAGGGTTAGCAACCAAGCCCAGTACCTTGAGAAAACAGGGGCTGCTGAGATGGAGTGGGGGGAGTGGGATAAGCTCCCTGAGACCCAAATAGAGCCTGGGAACTGGCTGCCATCTTCGCCTTGGCTGTCACAGGGCCCTGGGAGTCTGCCGCAGGCCTTCCTGGCATGCATGTGGTGTCTGTGTAACTCCCCCACCTGCCTTGGTGTCATGCCAGAGTGTAGGCTGCAGCAGGACAGAGGTCCTTGGGCAGAGCTGGCATCAGATCCCCAGGGATGCTGGAGAGCCCTGGGAACTTAGGCAGGTGTCCAAGCAGAACAGGAATTCAGACCCACATTGGGAGACAGGAGGCAAAAGCCAGAGGAGGTGGCGAGGAGGATCAGAGAAGACAAATTCCTGAGCAGTCACTCTTCACAATCAAAGCAAACTGAAGAACCAAAAAATGATGGGGACAGCTGGATACAACGGAGCATGCCTGGGCAAGGGGAGAAGAAACCCAGGTGCTCTCCCAGGGCAGCCCCCAATCCAGATGTGGAAACTGAGAGGCCTCTCTGAAGAGTCTCTCAACTCTTTCAACAATGAAGTCTTAGGGGCTTAGAGTCCATGAAGCTGATTTTGTATCCTGGAAGCGGCCTTAGAGCCCTAGTATCATCAGCTGTATGTCCGTAAAAGCAGTGGCCCAGCATTCGAAAAGAAGAAAATCAAAAGGACCACAACACATGATCTCAGTTTTATAAGAATTTGGAAAGAAATCTAATAAGCAAGTGCAAAGTTTGTGAAACTGATCAAATGGAGCCTGGAGGGTACAACTCATTTGCACAAGGACAACCAGTGACTTACAAAACAGAGCAAGCACTAGAAAACTCCAGCTTTCCAGCATCTCAATTCAGAGCGTTCTCCTGTCCAACTCCTTCTCCCTTCACTGGCTCATGTGCCAGTATCCCTTACAGAGCATAGGACCCGAAGTTTGGAAGAATGTTCTAGCTTTCCTTTCTCAGATAAATAGAAAGCAAGCTTAATCTGATAAATTTCCATTGTAGCCATTCCAAATATCAGTAGAGTGCAGTGTGAACTAATCCAGTAACACCAGAGAAAAAGGTCTCATTTATTCCTGCAGCCAGTGATGAGGGATGGGTGCTCAGGGATGTGTATTGGCTATCAGTCTGGCTCAACCACTGTGTTACCCTGGACAAGCACTCTCTCTGGGCCTCCACTTCTTTGTTTATAAATCAGAGTGGAGGGGTCCTGAATACGTGCCCAGAGCCTTTCAACCCTGATCTGTATGTGTACATCATCTCTTCCTTGTGGAGCTCTCCCAGTTTCTGATAGGTAAAGGGGCTGGGAAGTTCAGTGCTAGGAATGCCAGATCTGTACATCCCACTTGCCAGGACCACTCAAATCCTCCTGAAGAACAGGTTCATTCTTGACACCCTCTGCTCAAACTAATCCACCCTGCTCACTGGGAAAAATGCTTCCTTGGCCTGGCACTTGAACCTCAAGAGTTGGACCATGTTGCTTCTCCAGCTTCAGCTCGTGCCACTGCCCAGAGATGTACCTGTTTAAAGATGCAAGTTTCTGGGCCCGGCGCGGTGGCGCAAGTGATTAAGGTCTTCGCCTTGAACGCCCGGGATCCCATATGGGCGCCGGTTCTATCCCGGCAGCCCTGCTTCCCATCCAGCTCCCTGCCTGTGGCCTGGGAAAGCAGTCGAGGACGGCCCAAGGCTATGGGACCCTGCACCTGTGTGGGAGACACGGAAGAGGCTCCTGGCTTCAGATTGGCATAGCATCGGCCGTTGTGCTCACTTGGGCAGTGAATCATCGGACGCAAGATCTTCCTCTCTGTCTCTCCTCTCTGTATATCCGCCTTTCCAATAAAAAATAATAAAAGTAAATCTTTAAAAAAAAGATGCAAGTTTCAACCCTTTTCAGCTCTGTGATTTCAGAAAATTGTCTACTCTTTTGGAGCCTCATGTACAAAATGAAGATGATAAAGTGGCATGTCAATCCTTGATATGAGGATTAAATTAAATGTTAAAATCAAATAGATATTCTATACATGTTAGTTCACTAAAGCATGTTCATTGATAGCAGGAATAATAAGTGCACTTCTTTTATACCCTCAAAACATTTAGCACTAAGCTCCTTACCAAGAAACTGTTTAGGAAATATTTGGTGGAATGATACTTTATCTTTTACAGAAGATGTCTTAATAAACTGAAACATTTGCTTCTCTTTTTCAGTTTGCCCAACTGGTGGCCATCTATAAGACACTGGGAGGAGAAAAATTCCCACTGATTGAGCAGACATATTACCCCAACCACAAAGAGATGGTAAGTGACCAAGTGAGGCTTCCAGCTCTGCTCTTCCCACTCTGAGCTCAGCAACACAGTGCCGAAACTGTGAAGAGAGCCTCAATATCTGAACCCCACAAACTCCTTGGGAATCCAGCGGTGGAGCTGCTTAGTGGGACTAACATGGCTGGGTCTTGACTGACAGCCCCTTTCTTGCCTTCAGATTCTGGAGACAAAATAGAAAGAGCAGGAACAAGGCATTTTAATCAAAGTAACAGCTCTCTGGACTGACAATCAGATCTCACACCTTGAGTTCTAGCCTTAGTGGCAGAACAAGTACTGTGCGTCAGTTTTCCAATAGGATCATCAACTGGGGATGATTGTCCCTGAGCAGGGTATCTGATATGGTATGTACAGGATGTGAGATGAGCTGTGTAATTGCCTTCTCAAGTATCAGGTGCTACTATTGCTCAGACTTCCTCAAGATATGAGAAGGCTGGGTGCTTTTTTTTTGTTTGTTTTTAAAGATTTGTGTGTTTTGTTTTGTTTTTTAATTGGAAAGTCAGATTTACAGAGAGAAAGAGAGAGAAAGATCTGTCTGCTGATCCACTCCCCAAGTGGCCAGAACTGAACCAATTGGAAGCTAACAGCCAGGAACTTCGTCTAGAATTCCCAAGTGGGTACAGGGTTCCAAAGCTTTGGGCCATCCCCCACTCTTTTCCAAAGCCAAACAGGGAACTGGATGGCAAGTGGAGCATCCAGGACACAAATGGGATCCTGGCCGATGCAGTGCAAGGATTTAGCCACTAGGCTATCACACTGGCTACCACGAAGACTGGTTTTAACATTGTGTATTCTCTGGGGTCAACCTGGGGGCGTCAGAAGGAGCAGAGAAATAGCATAGTTGGTTGGTAAGAGGATATTGTTAGACGCCCTCTACCAAGGAAATGCTGAGGCAGGAGCTGTGTTAAATCCTTCTCCCACTCCCTGCCCCACAGGGGATCTCCTTCTGCAGCAGTTGTGGAGTGCGAGTTTTCTTGTAGCACATTGTCTGTGGCTCTGTTCACCCACCAGCAGACCACACGAGATCAAAACAGCCCTACACCCTAAAAGAGCCATCTCCGTTGACTTTGCCAGAGCTTCCCCAGAAAGAGGCTGTAAAATTTAAGCCCTTGTCCAAGGAAAGCAGGAAGACTGGCAGAGGCTGAGGATCCCTAAGACGCCTGGGTTGGAGAGGTACAGAGGGTGAATCTCAGAGGTGAGGCGCGGAGCTGGAGGCAGGGAATCAAGCTGTCTGCTTCTGCCGTCACACACAGCAAGACTGAGCACTGGAAAAATGACAATGACTGCAGCTATATTCCATCATTCTTTCCCCCTGGCGTGGTGCTTATGTTATTTCTCTCTTGCCCTCTCTCCCAAAGTTTGTGCTCTAAAGGGGACCAGCCACCTCTGAAATGTCAAAAATAGATGAAGGAGGGATTTTAACTCTACAGAAAAACTTTTTTTTGGGGGGGGGGGCTTAAAAAAAAGAGTTCTAATGTAGGAATGAATTAATCAATCATCTAAAAAAGCCAGAAGACAGGCAGGCTTGGCTTGGGACACTCGTATCCTCTGTCAGAATGGCCAGCTCTCAGTCCTAGCTCTGCTCTGATTACAGCTTCCCCACGTACACCCTGGGAGGCAACTGGCAATAGCTCAAGTGTTTCAGTCTCTGACATTCTTGTGTGAGATCTGGATTGGGATACCTGCTCCCAAGAATTTGAGAAGTCTCTCTCTCTCTCATATAAAAAACATTTTCTTAAACACCCTGAAGAGTCTTTTATACATATTGATAGAGGGCATTAGAGATAGTTAACATAAAGAGACAAACCTGTTGTTAGATAATAAGTCTGTTCTTGTCCAAAGAGGCATGGTGAATGGACTGCACCCTCTCCTAAGAATGGCATAATGGAGAATTTCAGCACAGAGAGGGAGGGTACCGAGTCATTTAGGGCCAGGTCACACCTCCAAACAGAGTACTGAGGCGTGAGGATACACAGCCATAGTATATTGTTCTTTTCCGTCCTGCCAATCACCTGCCTGCTTATGATACAGGTCAGCCCACTTTCTGGCATTGTACACTATAAGGCTACTCTATCTCATGTGTATAATATTCACTGTTTTCCTCCTATCCAGTTAGTTAAAGCAAGGGAGGTCATAATTTCCTTGAGAGAAAAGGAAATAGTCCTGGGTTTAGGGAACAACAAAAACTTTTAGCAGTAGCTACAGGCCAGACTGTTTGGGGTGTGAGTCAGGCAAGATGGGCTGGGAGCAGGGTAGGATACAGTGCTACCTTTCAAGCCTTCAACAGGTTGTGGCCTATGGAACATTCCCCACCCCCATCCTTGCCCTGATGCCATGACCAGGCTGTCCAGTTGGCATTTCCTGTTAGTTGGCACCCGTGGGGACTGTGGTAATGGCCATATAATCGCAGGAAAGGAGAACAGACTTGCTCTTCAGGACTCAAGAGATGTTCTAGTCCTCGGTTTCTCCTAGGGCTGGAGGATATCTACGAACTCCTTCCTGAGTGACAGGTGGCCCTGGTACCAGCTGCAGGTGCCATCAGCATGCTTCATGCAGACATAGTGCTGGGCCTGGTAACCGTAAAGCTTCCGTTCCAACAGCCAGTCTGTCCAGAGGCACTCGTTGGGGGCCGAGATGACGCAGGGCACTGTGTAGCAGGTGGTAATCTGCAGTCATGGCCACACAACACCAGAGTGAGTAGGGTGTCCTTTTTTCCTTCCTGCCCTCAGACTCCTACATACCCTGACAGCCCATCCTAAATATGTCTTATGAAGTCCCCAGACTCCCCTCAGGATTTGCCTCACCGTGAGATCTTAGCAAAATGGTATTGCTTCTCACGGCATCCCTAAGCCCTGAAAGTCCTCACCCTGCCACTAAGCTTGAACGAGTTGTTTTACTCCCCTTTCATTTCTTCATCTTAAACGGAACATCCAAATTCCTCATGCATTTGTTGAGAAGAGTAAATTAAGCATTTAAAATGAATTGCCTATTACAGAATGTGGCAGCATAGGCTGTCTTTAAATGTTGGCTGTAGCTGGTACTGTCATGTCAGTCTGCCATATTTCCCAGCCAAAATGTCCATATTTTGAGATAAGGGACCATGGATTGTGTTGCAGTTTCATATAGCACTTGGTCCATGGCAGATCTCGGTTACTGTACCGTAAAAGACTACACGAATGCATGAATGGAGGAAGATATAGAGGGGAAGCTGCGACACTCAAGGCCCTTGCCCCACTCCCGGAAGATCCTAGAAATGAATACCCCTTACTTGGCAGATACAGTTCAGGTGGTAGTGATGATTGAGACTTTCCCTCTGCACCAAGGACAGATCCTCCCAGGGCTCGATGTAGTTGCACAAATGAATGAAGACTTTTCCATCACTGAGGACCTGCCCTTCAAACGGAGATGGGAGAGAATCCGGCATCAGGAGTCTGCTTTGGTACTCCAGGAGTTTGAGTCCTGGAAGAGCCCCAGAATTCCAACCCCTTCAGTGGCTTTTGGAGGGCAGCAGCAGTCTGAGGCTCAATGAACAGACGAGAAAAACCTCTAAAGTCTTTGTAGCCAAGAGCTTAACAGATGATTGTATGAGGCAAAGTTAAGAGACTAAAGAAGGCCTTTCTTTTAGTCTAGTGCAGAGAGTGAACTTGGACTTTGAATTCAAACTCCAGGTGAGATCCCTTCTCTTTTACTTAGAGCTGTGTGACCTTAGGTCATGTAACCGCTCAGCTGGAAGATGGGAATAATAAAGTATTTGTCAGGACCAAATGGGAGAGTGTTGAGTTCCCAGTCCATTTGTAAACCCATAGATGTTCAATAAATAATGGATCCCATCCCCTTCCAGCTCTTCTCTACATAGATCAGACCCCTGCCCCAAGTCTTCCCCCTTCCTCCTGGGAGTTCCCCTGCTTATAAAATCCTCATATTTCAGAGCCACATTTTTGGTATCACCTCATCTTCAAATCTATCCCTGAGCTTGCTGACTCAAACCTGTCTTAGCACATTAATCATTTGATCACTTGCTCACTGAGATCACCTTGAATACAAAATGGAATTCCCTCCCCTCAAAGAAGGAGCTTAGCAGTGGATAGGGTAGACAGATGAGCAGGCAGCAGTCACACTACTGCATGATCATACAACAAGATGCAGTATAAACACAAAGGAAAGCTTGTTATCTCCATCTGTGCAAGGGGTGTGGATGGTATCTCAGAGAGGGTGCTTGCATTGGGACTTGAGGCAATGGGTAGGCGTTCCTTTTTGAACAAGCTGCGGGAAATGCTTCTGGGCTGTCTACAAAGGCAGAGGGATGTGGCCCAGCACCGCACCTTCTGCAACAGCCAGTAGTTTACTTCAACTCCGGAGGAAGTGAGGGACTGGAAGCTGTCACTGCCAAATGGCAAGAGACAAAACAAGAGAGGTCAGCAGTGGTCAGGCACGAAGTGCTTCCAACACCAAGCACAAGGGCCATCTTCTAAAGGCCATTGGTGCCACTGATGATGCTCCGGTAGAGCTGTCTGTTGCCGTTTCCCCTCAGCCTGGCTGAGCCTTGACTTCCTTGAGGGCGGATAGCATGTCTCCTATTTCTAAGTTACCCCGATGCCCAGCCCCGAGCACAGCACGGAAGGCAGGTGTTTAGAAAGGAAGTAGAAGCAAAAATCTTTGTAAGGCCTGGTATGCAAGTCCTAGAAACAAATACCTTCTTTCACCTGGATTCCAAAATGATTCATTATGTACTCACTAATTTATAGAGTTATATTATCTTATAGTTCTTTAATTGTGTTTGTCTAACCAATTGAATATTGAAGAATTCTGCAAATGTAAAGAGTAGAACTGCAACAACCTGAAGTTTCATCAGCAGATTTTGGCTCCAGTGCCAGAGATATTACACAGACTAGAACCCTTTAAATGTGGAATTGGCTAGCTATTCCAGGCTGATGTAACAACCTCTTTAAAATAGTGAAGCACAGGTCTGACATGTGGCCCAGTGGATTAACACGTGGTCCATATCAGCATCCCATATCAGCACTGGGTTCAGTCTTGGCTGCTCCCTTCAGATCCAACACTTTGTACCTGGGAAATTAATGGAAAATGACCTAAATGCTTGAGCTCCTACTCTCATGTGGGAGACCCTGATGGAGGAGTTCCAGGCACCTATCTTTGACTTGGTCCAACTATAACCATTTGGGGAATGAATCAGTAAGTGGAAGGTCTCTATCAATTAAATTTTTAAAAAAATGTTTTGGGCCCAATGTGGCAGCCTAGCAGCTAAAGTCCTCGCCTCTCACACACCAGAATCCTATATGGGTGCCGGTTCTAGTCCTGGCAGCCCCGCTTCCAATTCAGCTCCCTGCTTATGGCCTGGGAAAACAGTCGAGGAAGGCCCAAGGCCTTGGGACCCTGCACGCATATGAGAGACCGAGAAGAGGCTCCGGATTCCTGGCTTCAGATCAGCTCAGCTCCAGCTTTTGTGGTCACTTGGGGAGTGAATCATCGGATGGAAGGTCTTCCTCTCTGTCTCTCCTCCTCTCTGTATATCTGACCTTCTAATAAAAATAATATAAATCTTTAAAAAAGGTTTTAAAGAGTTAGATAATCAATAGGCTAGCATATAAAATAGTAAAGCAATAGTCAAGATTACTATAATGAAGACTCCTAAATACAAAGGGAAAATGCTTCAGCTGAGCTAGAAGACTGCTTCTCATTAACATGGCTATTTTACGCATAAGGAGCTGCTACCGGGCTCACAGGAAACCATGACTCCAGTCTCACTACCTATCTTAGGACAGACCAGTAAAGACCATTTGCTGGTCTTTAAGTTACTCACCAGTCAAAAGATACTGCTTCTGACTGTTGGCTTCTAATTTCACACCACAGAGAGAAGAGTCGAAAGGGGTATAGATGTGCTGAACATCCTTGACTTTCTCAAAACCTTTAAACATCTGAAAGGCAATGAAAAAAAAATAGTATTGGGTCAGTGACTTGTGAGTATATTAAGCATATTAATGGACAACACCTCATTTTTTCAGTCTGAAAAATGAACATAAGTCTGGTTTGGAATTCAGTGTGCAGAGATGGGCCTACTAGCTTTCTCTCTTAATAACAACAGCAACAAAATCTAAACCTTGGGTTTATTTTGGCAAGGCAGGGAGGTACTCCGTCGCAAGCAGCCATGGCTCCTAATGGATACTAAGGGCCTATCACACAGTGTCGCTAAGATTCCGAGGGCCTTAATGTCAGCATCTCATCACTTCAGCATCTAAACCTAAGAACTACCAAGCCAGGTCACCTGCAACCTGCCAGCCTCCCTCCCATCTGCATCCCTGAACGGACTCCTGTCATCTCAGGGGAAGAAACACCCTGTGCAGTCCCCATGTACCTTTATCTGTTTGATTTCATACCGGATCATTTTTTGAGTGTCATCCGGGTCTGCACTGGCAGGAACCACCTTCTCACTAGAAATTTTTGCCCGGATCACTGCAGAAGAAGATAAAGGAGGGGAACTTCAGAAACCAGTGGGAGCAGTACACCTAAGATCTGAATGCATGGGGGCCCCGGGGAATCCTTTAGGGGTCTTCTTGGCCTAGGTGTTGTTGGACAGGGGCCGAGTGAAATGTATGAGAATGGGGACCTGGGAACCCCACTTTGTGGGCCTGTCTGGGCCTATAAGTTCAGAGAGCTCTAGTGTTCCATACCCCACGGTGCAGAGGGCTGAGCCAGGGGAGAGGATCCTTGACTGGAAGGCCTCCTCACAGCTGCTAGGGGTTGACTTCAACGCATATTTATTGAATTCCACAAATGTTTCACCCTGCATTGAGTAAGTCCCAGCTTTACCATATAGGCATTAGTCAGTCTGTAGTTTTTGCTCTGTGCCTACTCCTGCATTAGGGCCTAGGCATACAGATGTGCCAAAGACAGTCCTGGTGCTCTCAAACCCCTTGGCTTAACAAAAGACACACTTATCAGGAACCAGCCTAGTGGGAGTGTGGAGGCATCAGAGACGCTGCGATAGCACTAAGAAGTGCTTCAAAAAGCCTTCAGAGAAGAGGGAGGACCCAGTTAGACCTTGAAAGAAATTTACCAAGAGTTTACAGTATCAGGGAAGGACTTTTCAGGGAGAGGAGAGAGAAGGGGAGAAAGGCATGGTTGTGTTACGGTGGCAACTTCAGTTACAGGCCGGGGCAGAGACAAGTGTTAAGATATAAGCCCCTAGGACCAGCGCTGGTTCATTTCCCGGCTGCTGCACTTCCAATCCAACTCCCTGCTTATGGCTGGGGAAAGCCCTTTGGCCGCTCCACCCATGTGGCAGACTCAGAAAAGCTCTTGGCTCCCAGCTTCTGAGAGGACCACCTCTGGCCTTGTAGCCATCTGGGGAGTAAACCAGTGGATGTAAGATCTCTCTCTGTCGCTCCTCCCCTAACTATGACTTTGTACGTAAAATAAATAAATCTTCAAAAAAAATAATAGTAATAAAATGCAAGCTCTCCCCTTAAGCTAGTAGTACAGAATACCGTGCCAGATATCTCCTTACATTCAGTGCGACCCAGGTAGGGGCCAGATTGCTATAGAGGTCCCTAACAATCTTTATTTCCTTGTACACTGGCCAGGCCCAGTGGTTGCTATGGCTCCAGGGGCCCTTGGAAATCCATCAGCCGCAGCAGGAGGCCTTGGGTCTAGGGGCGGGGATCTGAGCTCCTCCCTCTTCCTTTGGACACGAACAATCCCCACAAACGCCCCCAGTTACGGATCTTTTACTCACCCAGTGCAGAGTGGCAGAAGTGCTGCTGGGGGTGTGCAGGGGCGCAGCTGCACGCCTCGCCCAGCCCCGGAGGCCGCAGCAGTGCCAGCAGCCGCAGCAGCAGCGCCCAGCTCGGCACGGTCAGGGGGCTCCCAGGCATGACACTGGAGAGCCTCGATTGTGCCCTTGGGATCTGTTGGACCAAACAGCCCCCGCAGGGCTTGTCAGAATGCCTCGCGCCCCTCACCCCAGGCTTTATGAAGTGGCCCAAGGACCAATCCCGCCCCCATGGGTTCCGCCTTCCTTTGGCTCCAGGCCACTGGCTTCTACAGAACCCAAGGCCCTCCAGACCAACAGATTCAAGAAGATGAGAGGAGACAGGAGAGAAGCTCCTGGCATGTATTTCCCTGCCAGAGTACTCTATTTGGGGGCTGAGGGAAGCCTCTGCGAGGGGAATGGTATCAGGGGCAGGAAGATTCAAAGAGCAAGCGTATGACAGAAGTATGTGAGCAGAAAAATTGAGGGACCGCCATTTAGGCAGAAGGGATAAGGGTGGGGAGAGGCACAGAGTGAGACAGTCAGAGAGGCAGACAGAATTACAACAGGCAAAAGAGACAGTGACAGAGAAGGACGGACCCCTTGCTGAGCTGCACACTGGGAATGAGACAAGCTACTCAGGGCTTCTTTCAGCTGCAGGAAGTGGTTTCAATGCCCTATTTATGAGGCTCCAAAGTGACAGCAAACAGTAAGGGAACAGGACAGAGAAACTTGGGGTGTGTGTGTCTTGGCTCCGTTGGCTGGAGGGGTGGAGAAAGATGTCAGAAAGCAGCCAGTGCTTTAGAAACCCTTCCCAAAGCCAGAGCCCGAGTCTCTGCAGATGGCTGGGGCAGTGCCCTCATGAGCACTCCAAACACAGGGTGTTCCATCACTGAGCGGAAAGCTGGCATCTCACAGTCCCCTTCCCTCCCCCGAGTCTAGCTCATAGGTCTGAGATGGTCATGTTATAGAAGGCAAGACAGGTTAGAGAACAGGTCGGGAACTTGGAGTCACTGTAGGGAGAGCCTCGCCTACTGCTTGGGAGAGCCTCGCCTACTGCATTGAGAGGGGCTCATGGGGTCACGGCTGTGAGGGTGTTTGCCCACAGCTCTGGGTTCTCATTCTGCCTGTCACCAGGTAGCTTTGTGGCCTCACTGTCCTCTCCGTGAAGGAGGGTTTTCAGAAGCCTTTTAGAGCTCTTTCCCCAGCCTGTACTGCTGAAATCGTCTGGCCAGAAAAGCCAGTGTCTGTTCAAACCTGGGTTCCCAGGGCGATCTGACTTTCTTGCAGCGTTTCCTCCAGAAGGTGTCGTTCCACGTGGTGGTGCTAGCGATTTTAAAGAAACACAGGAGTCCTGCTGAGAACGATGAGATCCAGGTTGTGTCTTCAGATGTTGTCCAGGCCACGACAGGGTCAGATATATTTGAAGGGATCTCCAGAAATAGTTATCAGATTTGCAGGCTGAGGCTCCATGAGGGAAAGTGATCTGTGGACAGGTTAGTAATGGAGAGGACCGGAAGTTGAATATCCTGACGTCTGGTCTACCGCTCCTCAAACTCTATGATATAATGTTTTTCATCTTCATTTTGTTGCAGCTTGAAATCCTGCCTTTGGAGGGTAATTCTATTAAGTTTCTGTTGATCCTCTGTTAAAATAGGCCGTTGTCAAGGTAGAGTTTGCTCTCTTAATTGTCCCTTCCTGGTAAAAACGTATTACATTCTCGTATCAACTCTCTTCCAGACCCCAAACTGGGTAGAACTTGACTTTAGCATAGTATGTTTGGTGGTGAGTTTGGGGAGTTGGTGAGCAAATCAGCATGTGACAGGGGAGGAGGATGGTCCAGGTCACAATAGGCCAGCTCAGCCTTTGGAGAGAGTTAAGTACTCAGACATGGCAAAAGGGACATTCATATTCCAAAGATGCATTTTTTTAAAAATTCAGGTTTATTGAAGTACAGTTTACATGCAGTAAAATTCACCCTTTTAAATTCAAAAAAATTTAAATTTAAATTTAAGGGCCACTCCTTCCCAGGTTTGTATAATGAACAGATGAGGTTGAAGCATAGAGTTTTAAATGCAGAAAGTTCCAGGCAAATGAACAGATTTCCTGTAGTTCTGCCACCAAGATGCTATATGACCTTGAGAAAGTCATTGTCACGCAATAGGCCCCAGCTTCTTTTTCATTTATAAAGCAAACAGGTTGATATTTTTAAGGATTCCACAGAGACCGGCTCATCTGACCAGTTCATTGTTCATTGCTCTCTCCTCTGCTTTCAGCTGACGCTGCCCACCTTCCCTGTGGTGGTTAAGATCGGCCACGCTCACTCGGGCATGGGCAAGGTAAGGTAGAGGGGCCCGCTGTGCTTTGGTGTGTAGAGTAGGACATTTTCAGACAACTCATTTGTGGATTGGACATCTGCCTCTGTTACTGCTGAATTCTTTCCAAGGAGATGATGACCTAGAACCTCCAAAGTCACGAGTCCTATCCAGCTAGACCCCACCAGCACACAGAGTGCAGGCCACTTGCTTCATCCTCTGATCCGTGAGGGCGGAAGTAGACCCTGAGCCCGAGAGGAGGGGCGCCCTGGGGAGATGTGGCATCCGCATGTGCATCTGGATTGCACACATCTCGAGGCCAGGGCTCTTCTGACTTGTGCTCGTGTATGTGTGTTACCCTTTCTCCCTCTCTGCCCTGCCCCAATGTTAGGTCAAGGTGGAGAACCACTATGACTTCCAGGACATCGCCAGCGTGGTCGCCCTCACCCAGACCTACGCGACGGCAGAACCTTTCATTGATGCCAAGTATGACATCCGGGTCCAGAAGATCGGCAACAACTACAAGGCTTACATGTGAGTGGGAATGGGGTCCCAGCCGTTGTCCTGTGTTCCCCTCTCAGCCTCAGTGAAACATCTGAACCTCCATGTGGCAGTCGACTTTCAGTTTAGCTTCATTAGACCCAAAAGGCAGATTCCACAAAAGGGTAGCATTTAGGTTGCACATTGTTTTTCTCTTATTGTGCAAAAAGCAAAGATAAAGGCAGACAGAGTTGTCATTTATTGCCTCACTTCACAATTCCCCAAACAGGTAGGTTTTGACCAGGCCATAGCCAGAAGCATGGGTCTCTGTCAGGGTCTCCCACATAAGTGTCAGCGGTCCAGCTGAGCCATCTCACTGCCTCCTGGGATGCACAGCAGCAGGAAGCTGGAATAGGAGGCAGAGCCAGGATTTGAACTCAGGTACTCCAATGTGACATTCAGGTATTCCAAGCTATTTCTTTCTTTTCTTTTTTTTTTTAAGATTTATTTTGATTTTATTAGAAAGGCAGATATACAGAGAGAAGGAGAGACCAATCCAGAGCCTCTTCCACATCTCCCACACGGGTGCAGGGTCCCAAGGCTTTGGGCTGTCCTCATCTGTTTTCCCAGGCCACAAGCAGGGAGCTGGATGGGAAGCGGGGCCGCTGGGATTAGAACTGGCCCCCGTATGGGATCCTAGCACATGCAAGGCGAGGACTTTGGCTGCTAGGCTACCGCGCTGGACCCTATTTCTTTATGACTATACCAGATACTTGCCCCAAGACAGGTTTTCTTTAAAATCAGAGGTGGGAATCTATCAACTAAGGTAATAAATAAATCAAAGTAATATTCCTATTCACTATCCTCTAAGTGAAATAAAGCTTTCTGTTTCGTTATAGACACAACAGACTAGAGCAATAGTAGCAGCAAGTTTAAGACTTTGTCCCTGAAGATGGACATTCCTGTATCACACAGTGTTGTGTCACTGTACATGCTGGTCCCTCTCACTGCTGTTCACAACATTGCCGTGGGCAGACATTTTGTCCTATGATTGAGACTCTGGTTGGAAAGCCTGTACCCCAGATCTGAGCAACTGGTTCAAGTCCCGGGTCCATTCCTGATTCTAGCTTGCTGCTGATGGACACGCTGAGAAGCAAGAGATGAGATCTCAAGTAGTGCGGGGACCGGCCACCAGTATGGGAGACCTATGTTGAGTTCCTAGCTCCCAGCTTCAATCCAGCCCATAGCTGGCTGGTACAGGCATTTGGGAAATATATGAGTAAATGGGGATCTCGCTCTGTTGTCCATTTCTGTCTCTCACCATCAAATAAATAACAATTTAAAAATATATAATATATTGTAAGTTATAAATATTAAATATATTTAATATAAAAATGTATAACATATGTATGTTAGTTATTGATCCTGTTATTACCTGCTATGACTTACAGGTTTGTTTAATATTTTAATGTTACTTGTTTTTTTTTTAAGATTTATTTATTTTTTACTACAAAGTCAGATACACAGAGAGAAGGAGAGACAGAGAGGAAGATCTTCTGTCCAATGATTCACTCCCCAAGTGAGCCACAACGGCTGGTGCTATGCCCATCCGAAGCCAGGAACCAGGAACTTCTTCCTGGTCTCCCACGCGGGTGCAGGGTCCCAAAGCTTAGGGCCGTCCTCGACTGCTTTCCCAGGCCACAAGCAGGGAGCTGGAAGGGAAGTGGAGCTGCCGGGATTAGAACTGACACCCATATGGGATCCTGGGCGTTCAAGGCAAGGACTTTAGCCACTAGGCCACGCCACCGGTCCCAATGTTACTTAATACCTCTAACAGGGTAATTTGTGGTCCTGTATAATTTGTATTCATTATTTATACATTGTTTATGCTTTACACATTGGAATAAATCCACAGGCCTCATTTGCCAAAGCTTGGAGGAAGTAAACTTGAGACGTGGATGTCCAGCTGAGTGTACTGCAGAGTGTGACAAGCCAGCTGGCTACAAGAGCCGCGCCTTGTCCGCACAACCGGGTCTTTTTGCCAGAATGGAAGTCCGAAGTTGCCTCTGATAGCATTTCTAAAAAGAAAAAAATTTCAGCACTTCCTGAACTTCTGTGATATTTCAGTTTTGGGAATGTGGACCTCCCACTTTAAAAAAACATAAAATAAAAAAAATGTTGGTAATCTATGATTTTGGCCACTGAGAGCAGAAGCAGATTGGAGGTTGGGCAACCTTCTCTTTGTTTTCCCTGTTTGTTGCATTTTTCTCCATCCCTCTGTTCGGTGGAGTTGCTTAGGTGCCCCCTCCATGCAGCCCATGTCCAGCATATGTTGTTCCTTCTCTTCCATCCGGAGCTGCTGGGGGGTGGGGAATTGCAGGGTATTGCTTGCTTGCCTGCTGCCCTGCACAACATTAGATGCCTCATGAGCTCGATAGGAATTCAGACACAAGCCCTTTGTAGCGAGCTGGAGCATGGGATAGCTCTTTTTTTTTTTTTTTTTTCATTTAGCAACTGGATTCCTGCTTATTAAAAGCTTATTGTTTCATGTTTGTAGCCTTTCTGTTTCCAGAAAGGAATCTAGAGCTGTAAAAGTAAGAACAATGTAAGACAGAATCTGTTGAAAGGTCATTATAAACTAGCTAAAACAATCAGAAAAAATAGCTATTTTTCAGGCACCTGGGAAAGCAAATTTTCCAATCTTTGGATCTTCAAATCCCCTAAACAAACAGCGTTTAATGATGACAACAGTGAAGGAAGAATATCTTGATTCTTAAAATTAGTCACCAAAATTTTTAAGGGTTAGAGTTTCCAAAAGCAGAACAGAAAGAAATCAAGAGAAAATATAATCCAGCAAGCGTTGGTCAAGGGTGGGTTGCGAGAAGCTTTAGATAGCATTGCGTTCCTTTCTTTTTTATTTACAAGGGGCGCTTAGCTAGTTGGAACAATGTCAGGGCCCTTTCAGCTTCACTGTCTCGGACTCGCAGCAGTGTCCCTGCCCATAGAAGTCACTTGTCTTCCCCAGAGAAGGCTGGGGAGTCTTCCCCTTTTGCCTCAGCTCTCCTGTGTCTGGAGATGTACGAATAGCCGCACTGGGTGCAGAGAATATGCTGTTCCTGCCTTCCCTCTCAGCAGACAGTCATGTGGCTCCCTCTGAGGAGGTCAGAATTCCCCTCTGCCTTGGCATGGCCCGGGGAGCCTGTGGGGATCTATGGCCTGCACCCCGAGGTTAGAGAGGCGGGTGAAGTCTTAGGGGAACTTGGTCATCTTTAAAGTACCACACAAATGTCAGCGAGGTTATTATCATCCACTCTGTGTTGGGGATGTGGAAGTGTGTAACAGCATGTCCCCTGCCTTGAAGATTTGGTCCCAGGGACACATTTGTAAACCACCCGTGTGAGGAAGACAGTTATTTTCATTATGATTCTGTCTGTGTTTCTACTCAGGTGTTGCAAGCTTCTCGTTGTTTGTTTAGATAGTACGGTGCAAAGGGAAAGCACATCACATTGAAAGAACAAAGATTCCCAGATTTTTATCTAGATACACAATCTGGAACAAGGCCTCCAACCTTACTGAGTGTTAATCTTGTGTATAAAGTGGGGCAACAGTTCCAGTCTGTTCATGGCAGGGGTGGGGGTGGGGGGCTTGAAAGAAGGCTCCCGTGAAGGGTTTGGTGAGGAGGCACCTGGGAAATCCAGGTGTACCGAGTGGTATCACTCAGCTCACTGGGCTGCCTCGGGGCTCTGAACAACTAGCTGTGTGTGTAAGTGTCTCATGTCTGAAATCAGACTTTGGGGCGCATACTCCTGGGAACCTGCACATCCGCTCCCCAGACTCTGTGAGTGAGAAGGACAGTACATGAGGCACTTCGGCCGCGGAGGAAGCAGGGCTTTTCTGTTCCCTACACTGCCTGCTGTTCACCACGTCTGGATGAAAACCATAATTTTAAAGACATTCAGTTTTGGTGTTCCACAGCTTATTTGTAGAGTCTGGATCAGTTGGCCCCTCGCCAACCCTGGGTCTGTAGTTGAGTGTGGCACAGAAAGTCATTTCCACACCCACCTTTGTCAAGAGCAAATCTAGAATTAGAAACTGTCTGCCTCCTTCTTAGCTCAAGACTAGTGGACTTTAACATGACACGTGTTCATTAAGGGGAGGAAGCAGGGGACACAGCAGGTGGATTGATGTATCAGGCAACATAAGCCCAAAAGTTAGCTGATTTACCCAGAGTCACACTGCTTGTCCCGTAGTGCTACTGGATGAGTGAACCGGTGAGCCAGGATAGAACACATTAAGAGATATTCACAAGAACCCCAGAGGGTTCCCCCAAGATTGACAGGATTCAATTTCAATAAAGCAAGTCTACCCAGATACTGGACGGGCAGGCTGCTGAGAATACAGGATACAGTATAGGATGCAGTATACTTTCACATGGCTTACAGACTTGTGCTGAGTTCTTTGCTTAAGAGTTGACTTAAATAACTGAAGTAAAAGGCAAATGTAAAATTGTGAGGCACAAGCAAAGTCCTAGGAAGGTTCTGAAGAGAGCAAGAACTCTGCTGATTAAAAAGATCAAGGCAGATACCATGGAATCAGAGACTTCTGAGCTGGACACTTGAAAAGAGAAGGCCATTGCCAGTGGCGGGATTGGCAAAGATAGCAGGCTGTATACTCAGAAGACAGACTCCCCCGCCCCCGCCCAAGCTTTGGTTGGGAGGAGGAGATGGGAAAAGCATCAATGTGTTAAAATTCTGGGAGGTTTTGTACCCTTCTCTTGCTGGTGTGGCTCACGACTTTTGTACCTGGTGGAACTTGTTGCAGGAGGACATCAATCTCAGGGAACTGGAAGACAAATACTGGCTCTGCGATGCTGGAGCAGATCGCCATGGCAGACAGGTGAGTAAGAAAAGGAGTCTGGTTCCAAGCCAGAGCCAAGGTGGCTCCCACAGATGAGGAGCTGTAAGAAATGTCCTTGGCCAAGGGGAGTCTCTGAGAAGACATCCAAGAGTCAGTTAAGAAGATCAAGCAGGACTGGATCCAGTGCGCAAGTTGGGAATAAAGACTCTAACATGTCAAAGAGGCTCCAAAAAAGGAATAGCTAGCATGAACTAGGAAAGCCAAGGGAGGCCTCCTAGGGCAGGTGAGACCTGCTCTGAGTCCAGAAAGATGGGCAAGAATTTAAGAGCAGAGGGATATAGATTATGGAATGTGCTTGGTGGCAGTGGAAGGAGACAGGGATGCAATGGTGGATGTGAGAGCTGGAGGCAATGAAGAGAGCTAATACCCCAGCTTCAGGACCCTTTCCCATCCCCTCCAGGTACAAGCTGTGGGTAGATACCTGCTCCGAGATGTTTGGTGGCCTGGACATCTGTGCTGTCAAAGCTGTACACGGCAAAGATGGGAAAGACTACATATTTGAGGTAAGTCTTACTGCCCCTAAGAATATCTCAATAAGAGACAACCCCAAGGCTGGAAACCAGGCTCTTGGGTTGAAAACTGTGTGAACAGTTTAGACTGCATTTTGTTTAGAGTCTCCTGAGTCATAGGAAGGTTCTAGAAAGGAGACACTGTATCTGTATAGCACAGTGCCTGTATCAGGGAAGATGGGATATGGCTGTTGTTTCCAGTCTGCTAGGCTGACCCAAACCAGGTACCAGATGTGAGGTACTGGGGTGCTAGGCCAGTGCCTTAAAAACTTAACGAGCCCTACACACACACACACACACACACACACACACACACAAACAAAAAACAAACAAAAAAACCCCACAAAAACTTATGAGCCCTGGATAATCCCCTCTTTTGTTCTCTCCATCTTGTCACTACCTCCACTTGACCTGCTATCAGGAACACTGAGCCCTGGCCTCTGGAGGTCGAGAGTCAAATGGGGACAAAGGTCCTGCTTCTACAAAGACACACAAGGATAACTACTCCATCCCCAACCAATCCATGCTGGCTTATAGCCCATCCATTCTGAAAGGCTGTACCAGGACCCTGTCTTCATCTGGGCTACCTCTTCCACCAGGTCATGGATTGTAGTATGCCTCTGATTGGAGAACACCAGGTGGAGGACAGACAACTCATCACTGAACTTGTCATCAGTAAGATGAACCAGCTGTTGTCCAGGACTCCTGTGTTGTCTCCCCAGAGGCCCTTAACTACCCAGCAGCCACAGGTAAGCAACTGGGCACACATCCAGGAGAGCCAAGAGTCATTCCAGAGTTGAGATATCCACAGGACTGCATGGATCTAGAATCTTCTGCCTCTTTGCCCCGTTCCTTCCTTCCCATCTGGAGGCCTGAATGTCTTCTACCATCCCTAGTAGAGGCCTTCTTGTTAGCAACCTGTGTATCATATATAGAAGTGTCCACAGATAAAGTATCAGATGCCTTCCCTCTAAACTTAAAATATCCAGGGGATCAGAGCCCATTTTTCCTGGGACTTGGGTCACTTCCTTATTTTATACTGGGAAATCTCTAAAGAAAAGCAGGAGCAGATGTTTTATGAGCCATTCACTCTGATGGGTTTGCTGAATTTGTAAATGAAGAGGGATCGTGGGATAGGCATTTGGCCTACCTGTGAAGATGTCAGTTAAGAAGCTTGCATTTCATGTCAAGAACCTGCATGGCGCCCTAGCTCCGGCTCCTGACTCTATCTTCCTGGAAATGGAAATCCTGAAAGACAATGCTGATGGGTCAATTGATTGGGTTCTTGGCACCCACATGGGAAACCTGGGTTTAGTTCTTGGCTCCCAGCTTCATCCTTAGCCAGCTTCAGCTATCCTGGGCATTTGGTAAGTGAACTAGTGCATGGGAGTTATCTCTCTCTTTCTAATAATGATTTTTTTCATTAAAAAGAAAAAGAAGGGTCTTAAAGAAGAATCTGATGTGAGAGGGAGCAAGTCAGATTCTTCATTCCGGAAGAGTGGGAGGGAATGACAAAGCAAAACTCAAACTAGCAAGCTGCTTTCCTTTCTTGAGGGGAGGAGGTGGCTTTCTCATTTGGCTGTGGTAGATGACTGATAACCTGTCACATTCATGGTGACATTACTGCAGCTGTAGGTCTAGTGAGAAATCCACATATATCAGGCCCTGTGCCTCTCAGCTTGGCTAAAGAAGGCCAAGGATCTCAAGTCCCATAAAGTAGGATTCAGAAATGTCCTCAACTCTTCTCTCCACTGATCTTGTGTTTAGTGAAATGGTAAGAACTTAGCCTTTCTCTCCTGAACGGCAGTGGAACTGTGGGAGGAAGTCACTGTCCCTTTCTGGAGCTCAAGTCTTATCATTTGTAATCTGACTTCACATAGTTAGAGAGGTAGAATAGAACAGTGATCCAGAGTGAGGGTTTGCAGTGAGAACTACCTATGTTTGAATCTTAGGTGCTTCATTTATTTGCTTCGGGACCTGGGACAAGGGCCTTACCGGTGGCACAAGGATAACCGTGGTACTTGTCTCCTAAGGTTTCCATGAGCACTGAGGGAAAGAAAGACCCTATGATACAGCATAACACCCAATTATGAAAGTAAGCAGTGTGTGGGCTTGGGTACTCACAGCCTTAAATTGGAAACCTCTCCTCTCTTGTGAAGATGAGTCCTTCTCTGGAATCATCCTGCAGTCAGTCTGCCACTTAGACTATCAGCATCCCATATTGAAGTGCCAGTTCAAGTCCTGACTGATCCAGCTTCCTGAAAATGAGGCTATGGATGAAGGATCAAGGGCTTGAGCCCCTGCCATCCATGAGGGAGAGCTGGACGGAGTTGTGGGTTCACGGCTTTGGCCTGACCAAGCCCTCTCTCTCTCTGCTTTTCAAGTGACAAAAATAAGTTGTTTTTTTTTTTTTTTCAAAGAAAGGAATTAGATTCTAAAAAATCTGCAGGAAAAAGGAATAATAGGCTGACCTCTTTACAATGGATATGGACGGGAAAAAAAACAAAATAGTGTAGAAGCAAATTACCCTATAAAGATATTGGTATTTACACAGATGCTGAGATTCATAATGATGATCTTGAATCATCATAGAAAGTGTTACATTTGCTCAATAGTCCATATTCTATACAAGAAAATTTAGAAGCATGTGTGTAAGAAGTATTTTTCCCAAATGCAAATAAATACCACATCAAGGTTCTACCTAACTTCCGTGAGAATGGCCTACATGCAGAAATCAACTAACAACAACTACTGGCAAGAATATGGGGGGAAAGGTCCCCTCCTCCACTGCTGGTCAGTGTGTAAACCAGCGCAGCCACTTTGGAAGTCAGTATAGAGAGTGTTTAGACAACTGATCTACCATATGACCCAGCTATCCCACCCCTGTAAATATATCCAAATGAAATGAATTATGCACACAAGGAAATGACCTGCAGTCCTGAATGTATAGCTGCACAATGGTGAAGACATGGGAACAATCCAGACGTCATCAGCGCATGAATAGATTTAAAAACTGAAGTACATCTGCGCATTGGAATACTACACAGCCGTAAAAAGAATGAAATCCTACATCCTGCAACCATTATAGTTAACTAAATCAACCATCCCAAAAGGACAAATATTACATGTCCTCTCTGATATAAAAGAGCCTTTATGCAAAGTACAAAATAAATAGATACCTAGATAATCAGATGTATACACTTATTCTCTTACATAAACTGTATAATGGAGACTAGCGCACTGGGAAGTAAAAATATATTGTCATGTATGTCTTTACTTCCAAATAAAAGGAGGACTCCTGGGGAAGCAGTTAAAGATACCTTGGCAGTATAATAGTAGATCTTCTGCCTTTGCCTGTACCTATAACAACATGAAACAAATAGCAGTAACTGTTACTAAAGAGCTATAATACTGTGATAATATGAGGGAAAGTGCTTGGAGGGAGAAATCCTTATACCTATCAAGCTTTACCATGGAAAATAATAATAACAATAACAATAATAATGGAATATTTCCTCCAGAATTAACTAAAATATGTCTATATGGCAATTGGCAATTTCTCCTGAGGATCTAGTTTCCCCACTTTTACAATGAGACAATATCTAAATGCCCTTTATATTCTAAAAATGTCATTGACGAAGTGGGAACTTGTGCAGAAATAGAGGCTGGCCTAGATTCTTTCTGAATATCCAAGTTGTGAGTAGTAGGCTGTGTGGTGGGCTGTTCCCATACACTCCTATAACACTTCTAGTGTTTCATACCTTCTTCAGCTGGCTCCCTGTTCACAGCCTCTGACCAAGTGTACAAATCTGTGCTTGCAAAATGCTACCGCAGTATCAGGGTAATTAAGGGTAATTAAGTGATGTACTCAATTGCCTGTTGGAGATACAAGCCCATTGTTTAAATACTGGAGATGATAAAAAGAATTTCATGGTTGACAATTATGAATTATGTTACTAACACTTCATGATTTTGTAAGTGTGATGAAATCAAGATATTTGACTCCTAATCCTGCCCCATGGTCCACACCACCCTCAGCAGATAGTAAGATTATCTGCTAATCAGATTGCTATTTTTCTGTATTCCACGGGAAGCCCTTCTTCCTGGAGGTCAGGTCAATAATAAGTAACAAAGTACCCGTATCACTCAGGTCATTCAGAAAGTTAAGGGGTTACCTCCAAGGAACCGGGGACAAGGTCAGACCTCCCTATGGCAAAGTGGAGCTCTACTATACATGACTAACAATATAGCAACCCCTTGTAAGTGCGTGCCGTGGAGTATTCATCGGTGTTTCCACCGACTGACTCAAGTGTAGCCTAGAGTGCATTCTTAAAATTAGTTCATAGCCTTAGGACTTCAGTGAGGAATGAAGTAAAGTTTCTGTCTGAAAGCTGTTTATGTTTTAAATTGAAATCACACTGAACTCACGGAACTCATCAGCATTGGTCACATGGTCTCATCTCATCTGTGGACTTTGACTCCAGGCCTTCCAGAAGTCACACTTGGCAGAACACTGCAACTTTGGGTGAAAGCCACAACTGGTTGTCTTCCGGCTTATTTCTTTCCGATGTAGCACATATCCATTGGTTGTGATCAAGGAGACATTTCAGTCAGGAAGCGCTCAGGCCCAAGGAACTGTTGGACTAGGTAGTCTTCATAGCCCAGCTCAAGCCATCTACTCACTTGCCTGCTTCTTTCCTTATACAGCCTGCTTCCAAGGCCCTCTTGGCATCTGGACCCCACTTCCATATTTCATTTCAGTATACATCTCTTTTGTCTTTTATCCCTTTTTAAAAGATCATCTTATTTATTTACAAACAGAAGTGAAAACCAGAAACCTCTCTCCACTGCTTGTTCTCGTCCAGCGACTGCGCCCTCATTTCTGAGCGCCCCCTCCCAGTCTGTCTTTTGAGTTGTCACAGCCACTGCCTCCTCTCCCTCTCATCACATCTCCTCTTCATTCTGCTCCTATCTGTATTCTACCCCCACCATGTCTCTGAAATTGATCTTAACAAAATCACCCTCATTTCGCTGTGGTCCTGTCAGTCTTATTTTGCAGATTTTCTGGTGGCATTTTCTAGGCTCTGTGATACTACCCTCCCGTGGCTTGCATTCTGCCTCACTGGGTTCTCCAGCTGAGCCTCCTTTACTAAAGCAGCTTCTGCTAGACACCTCAATGTTATGGCCCCAGGACTTGGTTGGGGGCGTGTGGGGGGTGGTATTCCTTGGTGATCTTGGCTAGCCCAAATACATCATCTCTGACTTTGGGCATGCCTTTGAACTCCAGAGCCACATTCCTAGCTCCTACTTGACATCTTATGCAGAGAAAAAACACATTGTAAATGTAACATGATCAACACAGAACCCTTCTTTTTCTTTCCGTTAAGCCCATTCCCTGGCCTGGTCTCCCCCAAGCAATTTGTGTAGGCCCATCCCTGTCTCTTTGCCCCTGTGCCATTCTCCCTGCTGCTGTCTGTACCCTAGCCATCTTAGTTTAGCCGTGTCCTTGCTCTGAAAAGCCCTTCCCCTTGTTTTTGCATGAGTGGCTTTTTCAAGATGGTGTAACTTATATTCTCAACCAGCCAGTTCAAAGTTGTCTCTTACTTGCTGACTACCAACCTCTCTCTTTAATTTTCTGCACAGTACTTACTATGAGCTAAGATTATTCTTGTCTATTTCTTTATCTCTTCCAGACTGCAAGCTACTAATAGGGATTTGTTCACCACTGTAGCCGTAGTGACTAGCAAAA